CAAGTAAGTCTAAAGGTACCTTCTTTTCATACTGATACCCTCTTCAAACTGTGCTGCATTCTTCAGGAATATGAGCTAGCAGACTTACAGTTCTGGTTTTGGCTGGGATAGAGTTAATTTTCTTTCTAGTAGCTGGTACAAGGCTGTGTTTTAGTTTTAGGATGAGGATAAAGTTGATAACACACCAATGCTTTAGTTGTTGCTGAGCACTGCTGGCACAGTGTCAAGGACTTTTCACTTCTCATACTGCCATGCCAGTGAGTAGGCTGGAGGTGCACAAGAAGCTGAATAACAAGACTGGGGGGAGTTGGCTGGGGGGTGGCTGGGCATTGGTCAGCAGGTGGTGAACAATTGCATTGTGCGTCACTTGTTCTGTATATTCTTTTATTTTGTTATTATTATTTTTCCTTTTTTTTTCCTGTCCTATTACACTGTCTTTATCTCAGCCCACAAGTTCTACCTCTTTTCCAGTTCTCTCCCTCATCCCACAGGGGGATTAGATGGGAAGTAAGCAAATGGCTGTGTAGTGGCTAGCTGCCCGCCACATTAAACCACAACACTAACTCATGTAAGAGGTGGTTGGTTACGGCACCACCTTTTAAAGCTTCTGAATGCTGTGCTTTGAAAATTAAACCAAAAAATATATGTATTAAGGGAAGTGAATCAAAATCCTTCTGATTTGAGTGTTTTATTTTCTTCCCTTTCTTTCTGTATTGCAGGTTATCGGTATGTATCCATTTCTTGTAATGAAAATGAGACTGTTTTAAGGAATGAAAGCTGGAGCCATTAAACTACCCTACCTAAAGGAAAAGTTGGGTATATGGAAAATATTTGGACAATGTTTACGCTTTAGAATTTATTTTTGTTACTTTTTAATCACAACTGATTCAGGAAGAGTCTCTGCAAATATCATGTGTTTCAAAGTTGCTTCTTTGAAATTTACGGGAAGCAAAATACAGTCTTCAGTGGGTTTTCTTGTTGAAGAAAGCTCAAGTTGGTTGTTTGGGGGCTTTGTTTCATTGGCTGCTTATTTATTTAGGCTTTGTTATTGTTGACAATGTTATTTTTACTGGCAAAACTGAAAATATGTATTCTGTGCAAAACACGTTTTTTCAGGTACAGCTTGTACCCTGGGAAGTAACTACCCAGTCTCCATATTCTCAGAATTGACAGAAATTCTGTTTCCGATGTTTTCTTGCCTTTTCCTACTCTTGCATAGAATTTGCTTCCATTCTTTAATTTTGAACAGATTGAAAGAAATCCTGAACCAAAACCTCAGTTATTGAGTTACTTTGAATTAAATTCGTGGTGTTTTGTGCTTATCCATCGATAATTTCTAGAGTCTGTGTTCCACTAGCAAATAACTTTCAGAATGCAGAACAAAATATTACGTACAGTGATTCTAATTTATGCAACAGCTTTGCAAGTGAACTTTCTGATGGGAGTAATTGCATTCCTCTGATATTAAAGCATATTTTTAATTGGGTTTGGCCCTGTAGCGACAAAATTATAAAATAATCAAACTATATTATCAGAAAGTGTGATTCTGAATGTTAAGAGGAAATTAGTTTTGAAACTTACCATTTCTGCATAATAAATTTTTAGAGTAGTGTGATGTGTTAACATTTCTTTTTATTCTCTTTAAAATGCTGACTTACAACTGTTTTAAAGTCAGATGCTTTTCCATCAGTGGGGACACATAAGAATGTATGTCATAAAATCTGTTAGATAATTCAGCTGTGGTTAAATATCAGCTCAGCTATGGTTAAATATATGCAATGTTGCAAGCCTCAGCAGAGGAAGAGAAGTCTTGGAATATATTTGTTCTTCACTCAGAACTGCAGGTCTTAATAGTATAGCATCACAGTTCCTCTCTGAAATGTGATAACTGCTGTTTGCTAGATGTGAGACTTCAAAATTATTACTAAGAGGTTCTTAATAATTTTTTGTAACCTTAAATTGTGGTCTTTAGGCCAAGAAGAGTGATGCTACTTTTAATTTTAAGCCCTGGAAAAATGCTTAGTGCAATGAACAAACAAGAAGCAAATTCAGTAGACATCAGTTTAATACCTGTTACACAGCAATAACTACACTTAAAAAAAAAAATAAAAAAAAAGATTGTTCCATCCTATGTTCTTAGTTTTATTCTTCACACTGACTTATTTCTCCTGACCAGCATTTTGTAACAGCTGATGTTTTGCTATTGTCTGTGCATGTGTTGAGGGATTTTTATTCTTCCTGTCTGGATTTTGTACTTCAGGTATATTTTTTTTCTTTGTCAACTTTCTGAATGCTTGAGTCAACACTCTTCTGTTGTCTTGGAACCTTCTAATGGATTACAGAAGGGCAACCAACTGGTTTTAATTCTTGTTACATGTTTCACGCATCCTTTTCAAACACATCTGTATCAAAAATGTATCTACTTTGATCAAGAGATGGTTTCCCTTTCGTTCTTAAGCGTGGGTGCGTTTTCATTTGTTCCTGTGGTTAATTGTAGACAAGATTCTTACAACAGGCCAGCTTCTGCTTATTTGATTAGTAGGCTGAGTTCATAAAAATTGGTTTGATGCTAATGGATCCTTACTTCTGGAGGAAGAAATACAGCACTTAGTAGCTTCTTTTTGCAAAGTGGTGAATTTTTATGTAGACTTCCTGCACTGATGTGTGAGACCTTTTCTTATGTTAGTCAGCAGTTAAGCTCTATCTTATAATTTGGGTTTTTTTAAATTTCATAAAATGGTAACTCTTAAAGGTCAAGTTTGAGACAAAATGCATAAGTTTTTAGATATCTTTTGTGTACATGTATACACATATAGACAAACACACATACAGGGAAGAAAAATTGTACCTCCTTGATACTGAGCTTTATGAATCAGTCAAGTCTGCATACTGTAGTGAATGTATTTTAAAGCTTACACAGGGAGGTGATGGGACATTTGTAATCTTTAAAGCTTTTAGAGTAGTAGTATAATGCTTCTAGGGCAGGAGAGCTGGTTTTACTGAAGCTGTAGGGTATAGAAGGCTACAAAACTTAACTCCTAAGATTGCTCTTTTTTTTTTTGCCTTTTTTTTTTAAGTGAAAATTAAAAAAAGTGAATTCCAGATAGTAAGAAGTGAGGCAGTGAACGTTTAGAAAGCTTCCCAGCACCTTTTTGCTGTCATTTTGCATCTCGTTAAGGGAGAACAAATGAATGTCCTGTACTTGGAATGAAGGTGCTCTTGTCATGCAATGGACTGGCGCTCAGTCAGGTATAAACATGTGACTGATTGTGCACCTGCAGCTTGACGGAAACCTAATCTTAAAGATGTGCCTATATACAGTTCTGTTATAGGGATATATGTTTATGGAATTGTGTGCTGGAGGTCGTGCATAGCCAGTTGTATGATAGCTGTATGATGGCTGTCATGATGGTTGTATGATGTATGATCACTGCCCTTCCTCTGAAGGGCCTTCTTGAGATATATACCAAAGTTTGAATAAAAGGGTGTTGAATGTGTGCCTTTCATTTGGGAAGAGGAAGAGAACAAATAGAGACATTGCAGTGGATGAATGTAGTAGTGGGGATGTCCTGTGTCATAATAGAATCTGTGAATTCTGAATGGCAAATGGCATGAAATCGCAAGTTTTTGCTGGGTCTTTCACAATGTGTGGAGACTTGATTTTGCAAGTCTGTGTCTGAAATGTATGATCTGGATATAATGGGTAAGAGGCTATGTAGAAGACGAGCGGTCTGGAGGATGACTTGGATTTGGCATAACCTGTTTGTAAGGATTTATAAAACATCCTAGAAATAAGCTTTAAGTTTTCATCTACAGTCTTAATTATCTTTGACAAGCATGTACAGAATATTCTTCTATGTATGTTTCTCATTTGGCATGCCAAATGAAGAGTGCTTATTTAACAAGCAGCTACACACACAGAGATTATTGCTATGATTTTACAACTTTTTGGTGATTGATTTATGCCATACCTGTGTTTACTTTACAAGCTCCAGGCTGAATAGGCTACATTGGCCTCTTAGTTATCAGTGTAGTGGCTGAGTGGTTGACAAAACATTAGTGAAAAGTCTTGAGAGAAAAGAATACATTGGTATCCCTTTTTACAGCTGAAAGTCGTGATGCAGGTTGGTACAAGATGCCTCATAGTTTATAGAAGAATGTAGGCAAAGCACAGCTTTCACTGGCTGGTGGACACACAAAATGAAGAATATACTGATGTCATGCAGAAAATTTATAGCAGGTGAAGGAATGGTGAAGGATCAAGTCCTTCCAACTCAAGACTGGCCCATCACAATGAGCAGGAAATCAAGCCAAGGTGGCAGTAGGACTGTGTGAATTAGCAAGGAGCCCCTGACAAAACTCAAGTGTAAAAAAGGAACGTAAAAGAGGAAAAAGCAGGGATAGGTGGGTAGAAGGGAGTATAGAGGGATGGAGTTAGCTGACTACGCCAAAGCCTACCTGACATTTAATTTGGTAAGGGACCTGTAGAAGCCTTTATTCTCCTTCAGATGTAACAGCAGGAAGAAGTTAACTATGGGACATGTGGGTCTACTGCTGAATAGGGCAAGCAACCTGGAGACAAAGGACATGGGAAAGGATGTGGTACATAGTGCCTTCTCCATTTTAGTCTCTACTGGTAAGATTAGCCTTCAGGAGCCATGGGTTCCTGATACCAGTTTGAAAGGATGAAGCAAGAAGGAGGTACTTCAGTGGAGGAAGACCAGGTTAGGGAATACTTAACCTGGGAATACAGTAGTCCATGAGATCTGATCTGATCAGTAGATTTTACAGTTATTATGCATTATCATAGCTTTATAAAGCACCTTGACTATATAATTTTTTTGTTTTTTTAAATGGATCATTAGTTGTGATAAACGCAAATGCATTGAGTTCACATTCACAATGGATATCCTTTTTTGTCATGAAATGCCTTGAGTCTTGTGTATGTGTGTATACAAATCTATTTATATGGAAAATCATGCTGTCTTTTTACAGGCTATGAGAAGACAGATGATGTTTCAGAGAAAACTTCTTTAGCTGATCAAGAGGAACTGAGAACTATATTCATCAATCAGCCCCAGCTAACCAAATTCTGCAATAATCATGTCAGGTATTAACTAGTGGTTTTGTTGATACATATTTAATTTCAGAACATTGCATGTTGTGTAGCAAAAATGAAGTCTCAGACTCTGGACAGGGGAATGAAGTGAAATGAGAGCAGCAGAACTGTTACAGTTACAAACCTGACTTTCCAAATTCTTAAGAACAGGGTGGGGAAGGTACGGATGCTTTACAGCTGCACCATCAGCTAGTCTCTAGAATATGGATTTCTTCTTCAGCTTCTGGTTGAGTTCATCGTCAGACGTATTTCTGGTAACTAGATGCCAATGCAGATGTACTTCATTGGAGCATGGCATTGTTTGTGCTTTGGAAACTCTTGTCTTTTTCATTCAGCTACTTACAATGAAACTGGTTTTGAATTTCAAGTCTGGGCTTTAGGACTTTGCGGAGAGTTTATGTTGGGGTGGCTTTTTTTTTGGTTTTGTTGAATTTAAGTCATATGTTAAATACTTATAAGTAACATATGTTTAAATCTGATAATGCCCTCAGTTCTGTTGTTAAAATTCAAAGTAAATGAATGGCAAAGATACCTCTATCCTAAGTAGGTGTGTTTTCTGAAGGTACCTTTGATAGCATGCAGAAATTTTATACACATTAAAAATAATGTGATGGGGGTTTTCCATGGAATTGATAAACTTTATCATGCCTTTTGTTTGTGTTCAAAACTTTTTTTCTCTTTTTTGCTTTGTTTGTTTACAGTGTTGAGCTTTTCTGCAGGATAGATTTATCCCCCCCTTTAAATTGACTGTTTTATGCAACTAAAAGTAAATATTACTAACTTAAAATATTAACTTAAAAATATTACTAACTTGAACATTACTAACTTAAAAATATTCTTACAAGTCTTTTGCTTGTAAATTTCTGGCATTATTTTCATTATTATTGTTTTAGGACCTTAGATTGTAGTGGTTTGTTCTTAAACAAATGTAAGGCTGACAAAGAGCTGGGAGCTCAAACATTTTGTGGTGATGGCTTAGCAGAGATTATTATGCTGGGATAAACTGTATTTTGTTCTTTCAAACCGGCAAAACTACACTTAATATCCAATATTTATCAGTTTAAAATAAAAAAATGAACTTTCCATTCAGTAAAGTTTTTTGTCTTTTAACAAGTTTTTATAATTTTAATTATTTCTTAAATGCACCATTTCAATTCAGTTGACTCTGTTGTAAGTTTTTTTTGCATTGAGTCATGCAAATTCATACCCAGCTCAGAAGCTCCACAGCTCCTCAGACCTGATTTAGCACTCTTCTCTTTATGCTTGTTATACCTTTTTCACCATGAATTTTGTCTGAACTGAAGGCATTCTGCAGAGTTACCTGCCCAGTGTATGCCATAGCTTCCAGGGCAGGGTGCTCGTCTGGGCCCAAGACCCAGCCCTACCTGCTCCCTGGTGTTGGTGTAACTTCTTGCCACTACCTTTTCTACTTTTTTTCCTCTCCTCGTTGTCTATAACTGCATGGCAGCAGAGCTGAACTGCTTCCCACAAGAGCAGGCAGAGGTGATGAGGGAACTTCTTGCTTCAACGTGGAAGCTGTGGGTGGCAGGCGCTTCCCTGGGTTAGACATGTCATGGATGCCCACAGGACCATCTCTGTAGAAGTCTTTCAGTTTCTCTTTTAGCCAAAACAAATCTGTCTGGTAGCGCGTAAATCACAAGAGATTCTGTTTTATTTCAAAGTTTGCCTAACTGAAAGGGAATGAATAAATTTGAACAATTTTTTTGTACTGTAATAACAGTGTGGGTTTTTTCTCTTTCTCTCAGCACTGCAAAGTACAACATAATCACATTCCTGCCAAGGTTCCTTTATTCCCAATTCAGAAGAGCTGCTAATGCATTTTTTCTTTTTATTGCATTACTACAGGTAAGATCAACAATGAGATGCTAATGTTTGAAACTTGTTAAGAGAGTATTTACACCATAGACAATGTTTTGCAGAGGTACCGAGGTGTGTGTACTGTTCTTTCTGAGCTAGTTAGCCTCTCAGAATAGCTGTATTGTGCAGAAATACCTTTAATAAATGTTAGGTTTGTGGGGCTTTTTTGCTTCTTGGAGATAACAAAATACACACAAAGATTTTTCTGTAAAACAGGTTAAATATAGCTGAAATACTGTCAGGTAAAAAAGACTGTTGTGACAGGAAAATCCCTTTTAATAATACCTTGCATACACAGAAAAAATGTTACCTCTGGTTGGCATCTCTCATAATAGAGGGTACCCCCTGAAAAACTGAACTTAATGAACTTTAATCCTGTAGTCTGTTTTGAGGGGCAAGAGTTGCAGCTGAGGAGAAGTGAATATTTATTCTTAGAGTGAAGCTGATAAGGACTGAAGTTGAGTCTAGATGAAGAAAAACAACAGTGGAGTCCTATAGCAGTTATTTTCCATATCCCAGCTAGTTAGCTGTGCATAGTCTTCCCTATACCACCATTGTAGCTTCATCCAGTATGTTTGTAAAAAGGACTATCCCTGACCCAACTTAATGAAACTTTTTGGAAGAAGTACATGACATTTTGCAGATAATCAGAGTATTTTCATTTTGCAGTAGTTCAAGTTGATAAAGTAGATTGGTGGGAGGGGATATGCTATCCTATGAATGCAGTAGCTGATTGAACTGTGGGCAGGTGCAGTGATAATTACCATTGGTTAGTTCTGTATTATAATTGTATTTGATAAAAACACATTTTCTTCACAATTTCTAGTGCATTTTTTTTTTTTTTTAGAATGTGTTGATTTGTCTGTTGTGGAGATCATTGTGTTAGGAATTGACATACCAAACAAAAATTACTAATATAATGGCATATATACTGCCCTGTGTGCTTTTTCCTCCCTCGCTTCAGATGTTTTAGTAAGTAAAAGTTGATTCCTTTGTATTTAGGTTTCTTTGTTTCTACCATAAGGGCTTGGAGCAGTTGCTTAGGATACATCTGCACAGATAGCTTATACTGTTTTCTACGGGGGAAAAAAAATCTGAAGTTTGCAGTTTCACGAGATTGTTTGCCTGCAAATCTGTGGCTTTTAAGCATTCTTTTGACCACATCTGGCATCTCAGGATAATCCAGTGGTTCAAGCAGGTGGTTTTTTTTTGTGGTGCCACTGAGCACATCAAGCTCATGACACGGAATGTGAGGTTTCAGAAGCTGTTTGACGCTTGTCATGACTAGGTGAAAGGCTGCAGGTCACAATTTGGGGTGGAGGAAGTGGAATGTTAGAAAGTGGAACGTTAGGGTCTACAAGCCCACCATAGAATCATAGAATCATAGAATAGTTAGGGTTGGAAAGGCCCTTAAGATCATCTAGTTCCAACCCCCCTGCCATGAGCAGGGACACCACACACTAAACTATGTCGCCCAAGGCTCTGTCCAGCCTGGCCTTAAACGCCTCCAGGGTTGGAGCATTCACAACTTCCTTGGGCAACCTATTCCAGTGCCTTACCCCCCCCAGTGTGAAGAACTTCTTCCTTATATCTAACCTAAAGTTTCCCTGTTTAAGTTTAAACCCATTACCCCTTGTCCTACCACTAGAGTCCCTAATGAAGAGTCCCTCCCCAACATCCTTGTAGGCCCCCTTCAGATACTGGAAGACTATCTCCTATCAGGCTATCAGTGAAACCACATAGGAGTAAGAAACATGGGGTAATGTTTCTTTGGGAACCAGGGTACAAAGCAGGTGCCCCTTTCGCTTTCATACTTTGCCTGGAAAATAATGTGTAATTAGAATGGGGGAATTTGGGCATATGTGTAGAGAGGAAAGAAAGGGTTGGAATAGCTGGAGAAGTGATACATCCCTTTCCTTTGTAGCCAACGCATAGACATTTGCCCAATAATAACTTTCTGCCTGGTTTCCGTTTGATTGATTAAAAAGTGCGGTCTAGAGTAACCTGGAAAATAGATCTATACTGGTCTTACTCCATGTAACACAGGATGTGTATGTACATATAATGTCCTGATTTCTTTCAGAAGCACAATGTGGTGGTAGCAAAAAGAAATTTATATAAATCATAAGTAACACTGGCTGTTTTTCTGAACGTTTTATGATAAATTGAGAATGTCTTCTTAACCACATTGAGGCACCACTTATTAGCATACTGTTTCCAAAGATCTCATTGTAGTCATATTGGATGCATTTCCTATTTTAAGTCTGTTAAGGCAGCAGTCCTCTCACCTATCAATGTTGCCATTTAAGAACTCTGGTCAGTATAATTATGGATAACCATCCATGTGTATCACATAAACAGCTGCATTTTCTCGGCATTTACATACACATTCACTTGCATCATCTGTGCCAATACCTGCTTAGCAAAAATGGATTTCTTACAACAGTCTGGCAGAAAGCAGCTCTTTTGAAATTTGTCAATTAATAACTAGTGTGATACAAAATATTTCTTAGAGATTAAAACTATGAGGTAGTAAAAATACCTCAGACTTACGTCCGCTCTAACAAAAATCTAACTCGAAAAAATTGCAGTTTATTAATATATATTTTAATATAATTTGAAATACAGAAGAGGAAGATGAATATTCTGCAGACACCGAAACCTCTGAAAGTAATTCTGCTGAATATTATGCTGTTTAAAAAGCTAATGTTTTATCGTTTCAGTTGCTTTTAAATTGAAGACAATAATCCTCTCTTGGAAATGTGTTTGCACAGAAAGTACTGATTCTTGTGTTAAAAATGCAATGCAAACAAATTTTCTCTTTTCTTTTTTTTAAATAGCAAATACCAGATGTGTCACCAACAGGCCGTTACACAACATTGGTCCCTCTCTTATTTATTTTAGCTGTAGCTGCAGTGAAGGAGATAATAGAGGATATTGTAAGTATTTAATAGCAATATTTTGCAAATAGCTCTCAAATTTTTTGTAGATTATATTACAAAAATTTTGTTGAATAATTTGATGTTGAGCCATTCTTGCCTTCTGGATGCTTTTGAAAGCATCTGAAGCTACTTGAGAAGATGAAATCGTTAGAACATGGCGTTACAATTTGAAAGTGTGTTTGCTATATATACATGTGACAATTACATGGCAAAACAGTGACTGCCATGTTTATTATATAGATTGTTTCTAGTCAACAGTTCTCATTAATGAAGTATATTTTTAAAGTGTGAACTGGAAAGACTCCACAGAATCCAGTCAAGACCAGAGTATTGCCAATTTTCTCAAACAATGGCTCTGCTAAAAGAAGACTGGAACCTACTGAATTCATCTTTGGTGGAATCTTATTTTAACACCAAAGAACCTTTAAATACTTACTTGTTTAGAGGGGTTTTTTTATTTCCTGCACTGTTTCCTTGATTATTGTAAAGGGTTGCAGGTAGTACAGTCTTTCCCTGCTTCTGGGAGCATCAGATTTATTGTGTTTGAGCAGAATTACAACGTAGGTGCAGAAACATGATTAAGGGGAAGAGTGGTGAGCTGTAAATAAGCCCTGAATTGGAGGGTGGCTGGTCACATGCTGCCTTTCTTGCTGATACAGTGATCTTAATCTTCTAAGTTACCTCTGTGAATGTATGGCAGGCAAGATACATTGCCCCCAGGGTTGTGTGAAGCCTCTGGGCCACAGAGTTGAGTGGTCCTGCAGGAGGCAACGATATTTCCAATAAATGTTTTTATTCTGTGTTACATTTCTAGTATTTTGCTGCCCAATCGTCAGCTTCTCCTTAAATGTCTTTGTTGCTTTCCTTTACATAAACAAAATCCCTTTTAAAAAAGCCATAAAATCAATTCATATTCTTTCAGATATTTTTAACCATTCTGCTGTTAATGCTTAGACTTGCACCATCTGTCAGTGTCTAGGCACATATAAAACTGAGGCTGCTGCTGCTGTACAAAGTGTCCTTTTTTAAAAATTACCTCATCCGCTCGCTTTTCTGCCATTTGTGTCTACCATTTGCTCTTTGCAACTTGAAGTGTGCAGTTTGGCGTGGGGGGGAAGACAGGGAAGAGGTTTAGTGGTTTTTGCATGTGGCAGCTAAAACAGTAAAGTTCCCATTACCAAATACTACAGAGATACCTAAAGGCGTTTCAGGTACTGTTTTTCTTTCTGTTAAATTTACGTTGTTTCAGCACTTAGTTCATTCCTGC